GACGACTAGTAACTAAGAACGCTGAATATTGAAACTTTTATTATCCACACACCCTTTGGTGTGGTTGTATTTTATTGACCCTGCATTTGTGATCATACAGTGTTTAGACTTTGGAAGAAAGCTGACGACCTCAAGAATCTAAATGAGATATATGACACGTGTATTAAACTAGACGGATCTCGTTGCGACAAAGACAAGGAGATTACAACAGGGTGGTGCTATCATCGTGGCGAGTGTCATGTACGCGTTTGAAAAATGTAAGTGAGCATTCAGCAAAAGATTGAGGAAAGCCACCGTGTTAACACGTTGACGACAGTGCGCGTTTTGGCTTTTTTGGCCACATGGAACACAAACAGTTTCGCAAACGCGGCCAATGAGACGCGCATTTGCGTCTCATTATCCATCACAGTGCGTTTTTGGGAACTCAACACTGAAAGCATCGAAGCAACGGTGCAATGGCAGTTGGGAGGGGGATGAGGCGGCGACAGCCTATCGACGCCCTCTAAGCGAGATGGTGATAACATTAGCACAAAATATGGGGTCGTAAACCGAGAGGTTATAGTCAGTTCAGGGAGGAGGAGAGTAGGGAAAGCTACTTGTATGCATGAAAACTGGAATGCGCTAGCCTACACTATCTTCCTAACAGGTTCAGCGGGTGTGTTCAAGCACTCGTCCGCGCTCGATAAAGAGATTACAGGGGTGCGACCCGCAACCCAGGGTCAAGCCTTACACCAGTTCCTAACAAATCTACTGAATTGGCGAGGTTCCTATTTGATTCTTGTAGGGGGTCGGCTCGTGACATTGTCGCTTAAGCCATCATTTCTTTTTTGATTCTACGTGAGATGTGTCACAGCGCAAGTATTTTGGTCTCAGAGGATGCTATCGTGCTAGTAAGTGTAAGTAAGTAATCTAGTAAGTGTCAATCACGGATGTAGCCTGCAAGTTGCACCTGTATTGCTTCTTTCTGACAATAACTTTATTACCGCATAAATTGTTTATACCAGACCAGGCATTTGTCCTCTATACTCTCTGGAGCAGCATAAAAGTTGTAAGAAAACAAAATGGTAGGTTATACAATTTCTGGCCGCATTGTCGTTTAAGGGCGACAGAATGTAGTAAAGGAAGATAAATCTTCCCCTACCGCAACGGTATGGAATTCCACGTCTAATCTTCTCCTGATAAGCATTAAATGGGATTTTGTTGAGGAAATATAGACCAGCTCTCCATGCATGGCAAATGTGCCTCAGATAATAATGTTGACAAAATTAAAAAAGGATTATCACAATAAAGGCGAGGTCGAAGAGGGAAACTAACCAGTGGACTATGTGGATGTCCTAAGTGTGCGGACCGCGCGCAGTGCATTCCCTGTTGGCCAGCTGCCACCCTAAGGCGCGACGCCCCCCCCTCTGACGTCCCCCGTGAATCTGTAGCCGTTTAACAGATAGAGCGGTAGCGTTGAGGAGGGCAACATTGATGAAAGTCGCATTAATGCGCAAACAACGGGCAAAGAAGAGGTCCCATTGCTCGGGTACTACATTTTGCTCTTTTTCATTGTCTTCTTCAATTCGAAGGAGCCAACTTTCCATTGCAGGATTCGCCTTTAAAAGCGTGTGCAAGCGAAGCGAGCGAAAAATCTTAACAAAAAACTAGGATGATTTGAAAATCTTGTAGCTGCCTGACAATAGAAATGAGGAGTTAACACCTTCTTCTGTAATCACAAAACAGTTTAGTTGCGTCTGGCAAGCTGTATTTGGTGCCGTTCTGCGAGTGCAAAGGTTCGGAAAGTGGACGTTTCTGTGAGGTCTGCGTCTTTTCATTTAATTTCACGATCGAGTGACCGACTACTACTATGGACGTGTGAGCGCTGATAAGCCCATAGTAAATGTACCATGGAAGATTGAGTTATGGTGAAATATAGTGCCCATGTATTATAGTACAAACGATGGCACAATTGACCTGTATGTAAGAAGTGCGGGTAGGAGTGTTGCCGGTGAACTGCTTTAGCCCAACGCGCTATTAAAAAGGCAAAACAGGTCTCATTACTCGGCGTTTTCTAAACTTTTTCTTTTATTGTTTCTGTTTCTTTTTATTTTATTATTCTATCTTGTCTTTTTCGTTCTTCTTAATCTCTGCATCACTGACCACCTCTACTTCAATTTCTAGTGGTCTGCTTTCCAATGTAGACTCCGCCTTTCCTGCAATCTTTACAAGAGGTTTAGTAAGAAAGCTGTTCATAGTACCCTACCAGTGATGCTCCAAGCTCACTTCACATTGTTCGGGATTTGAATGCGAAATTATAGCAAATGAGAGATTTGGTAGATTACTCAAAAATTATCGGTCTCCGTCTCATTCTCATCCGGAAAGAAAAGTTGCAGTACTAGAGCCCTTGCTGTTTAGTTGGCCCACAATAAACACATGAAATGCATGGGAGTGCTAGAAGTATATAATGGTCATGAGAACAAAGCTATGAGCATTGGGAAAGGGGATGCAAGACTGCATTTATGAACAGCTCACGTTATGGGGCTCTTTAGTGGTACCGTCACCGATATTTAGCGTTTGAATGTGACTCTTCTATTAGCCACACATCCGTTGCTCGGATGGCGAAATGGGTTAAGGCGACACTATTTTTGAAATACAGAAGGTTTAAATCCAGAACATAGAATCCACAAAATTATTTTAGCGAATTGTCTTCCATGACCTTTTGAGAAAAAATCTAACTTTTGTGCTTTGATTAGTTTTTTTTTCATCTACAGAGAAACAGAGAGGCGTGACAAAAGAGAATCGTTGCACGAGTCTGCGAAATGGCATCTGCATCGCTCCAGAAGGAATTGCTCTCTGCGAGTATGTTTGAACTTTTTATATTCACGCTCATATTGAAGAGCGCAACGTTCAATGGAACAGATGTACAGTCGATATCTCGAAGTCTGATTGGGCGTGTCACCGGAAATGACGTGGCAGCCACCGCACTTGATAGATGTTGTGTGGATAAAATACTCCGCCAGATATCAGCAAAGCGTGTTGGAAGCAGCTTATCCGCGCAACTTCTATCAAGTGCGGTGGCTGCCACGTCATTTCCGGTGACACGCCCAATCAGACTTCGAGATATGGACTGTAGCCGTATCGTTTGGAACGAAGGAAACCACTTTAGGGGTGTGAGAAGGTAAATGCTTTCAGAAGTGGTACAAGGCTGGATGTCAGCGCTGTAGCCTTGACAATCCAGCATAACTGCGCAGTCGTATAAAAAAGAAATCTGAAGTTTATAATTCGAATCAATCACAACAATATTTGAAGAGCTCAACGGAGGCCTACAGTTTATTGAATGAGCAGCTTTTTTACTCGATGACGGTTGGGTTCTCTTTTTCGTGTTGTTTTGCACGGTGTGGCCTTTGTAGCCCTTATTTGTGGTGACTGTGAGTTTGTGCAACAGGGGAGGGTCACAATCGCAACAATTCTTTATTACACGAGATCAGTTGGTTTTTCTTGCTGCAGCGATGGAGGTAGAGCAAGAACCAATTTTAAAGTGATTAGCACTGCTGTAGCGCTCACCAGCAACAAAGGTGAAACCCTTAAAAATCCAAGGTTGTCGCAAATGTCTTTGCGCATGTACTTCCTCACGTTGCAAAATTTTCAGGATCAATTTTGAACATTTACTGTAAAATGGATACAATCGTTGATCAGAACGCGATTCAGAGCATTTCTGCTGTAGCACTTCGGAGCAACTACATATAGCTGAAAAATCGTGTTGACTGTCTCTGCTTTAGAAACCTGGAAAACGTGTCCAATGGAGCGACAAAAAGCCTACGTTTTGCGATGATCCGCCGGGCTATCTTTCACGACACGGCCGCTGAAGTCCAGATACTTGAGGAAAAACCACGAATTTGGCCGGCTTGTTACACTGACCTGATTGAAGAGAGCACTCGGGGCAATGCGTGGAAATTGGCAGAGTATTTTCAGTGTTACCAAATTGCATTAGCCTTTCACTATCGCCTTGAAAAGAAGAGAAATTATAGCAAAAGGGTATTTCGTGAGCCGTGTTACCAGCAGTATCGAAGGTTAAGAGATTTCGAGTTAACACCTTGATATTTTGCCTCTCTCCCTCTTGCAAATGAATCGTCAGCAAGGAAGCCCACTGCTTCTAGTCAAAGGTTTAGCAAAACAATGTTTGGGGGACGCGGAAAAGTTCACTTTACCTTGGCAACGCTTGTCCACGAATTACGAATGATCAGCGAAGGCTTCCAAGCTTTTCTTGAGACGTTCTCAGCCGGCTGGTGTGTTCAGCAGTTCAACCCTTGACTACTGGTGGTACACATGTGTACCACTTCCGTAGTCAAAGTCACTACCACAGTTTTGGCACTTATTGAATCAGGGGACCCGCCAATAACGAAAAAAGAATTTGAAAAAAATTCGAAAGACGCGCAAAGACTTTTCCGGCAACCTAATACAGACCTATCTGCCTCTTTATTCTAGAACTACATTTTTTTCTTCGAAGAGATTATAGACGAGCTTCCGAATACAGTGTTGGGTCAAATCCGAATGCTTCGATTTGAAAAAAGTGGGGGATCGTGCTTCAAGAAGGCAGAGTCGAGTGACGAGTCGCAGCGCGTGATGTAGGACGTACAATGGTACATTCTATTTAACTTGACGCGAAATCACTACAGTACGCGCTGCAACTCGTCCGCTGACTCTGCCTTGTTGCCGCGCGACGGGCCTCCTGTCGGGTACCCATTAATGAAATATCTGTGTTATTGTTTGGTGGCAGAGTGAATCTCAAAGCTCTGTTCGCCACTTTGGATACTTTTGCTGTTGTTCTTGATTCTTCCATGTGAGTAGCGGGCGTCAGAGGTGTACGACATATTAGGGTTCAATTGCTTCCCAGCTGTCTTTCGGATAGGCACTCGATATTTCAACTTTTCTGACATGCAGTCCGCGCATCTGATTCATTTCAGCTGTTATCCTGGGTATGTTGGTGAGCAATGTGACACCTACGATCCCTGTGCAAGAAATCCATGTGGGAAGGCGTCAGAATGCGTTGTGGTATGTGTATTTCTATGCATTTTCTATAAATCGGAGTCTTTCTTCGCTTCTCTGCCTTATCGTTACGAAACAGTAGTTATATTATAGATACCCGATGAGACGGAAGTCAAAGGAGATCTATCATCTCAGAAATATCGTTGTTTGTGTGGCATGAGTGACGAAATCGACGAGCAAAATCCTATAGGTGAATGCAGCCGACATTCCCCAGAATGGCCTAACGCCTTCCTTTTCTATTTTCAAATTACTTGAATTTCGCTTGCTCACTTAGGATGTTTATTTGTCCTTCGATTCATTGTTAGTATATAAATTAGGTACCCTTCGTTTCAGAATACCAGAAGCGCGTCGAGTGCAGACCATACACCACAAGTGACGACGGCCTCCACAAAATGTAAATGTTTTCTGCCAATGAAATGATTAGCCTGTTGCAGTTGTATTCTATCAGTTGTCACTAATTACAACTATCATTTACCAACTATCAGCTATCACTATGAACCCAGATTTACTTGGAGGCCGTCGTCACTTGTGGTGTGTGGTCTGCACTTGACGTGCTTCGGATTTTCTGTAGCTCAGGGTAACACCGAAGGACCAATGGCTGGAGAAGCGTTTTGAAATTTCATAAAGGATTACCTTCTAGCATTCTAAAGAGACCTAGCACCGCTAACAAAACCAGTATTCGTGTTCAAACAGCGTTAATTACAAAACAGTTCCAGTAATTCTAACCTTATCTAGTGCTTGCATACTTCTTCTGCAAAAAATATATTGTTTTCAATGCTCGAATGGTCCATCAGAAAGATTAGCAGGGAATAGAGAGCCATTCGACTTCAACTGCTTAATTGTAGAGACGAAATGCGTCTACTCTGGCACCGGAAACTGCTCTCGAGCCAAGAATCCGTGTAATCGAGGAGAATGTCTGTCGTGCCAGTACTCTGAACAGGGTGACGTCCTACAACTATGCAATGAAAACGAGAAAAAGGACGGATTCAGGTAAATTTACCTTGAAAGCGCTTCAACGACCTGAATGGTTGATGGCACTTGCTGCCCGTCCATGAACGAAAACCGAAAGGCTGAACAAGCAGATAATGTTTTGAGTTTTCTTGACGGATCGCTAGCCTTTTCCGCCATTGGCGAACCTTGAGCACCTCCACGTCCTCTCAAAACACCATAACCCATCGTAGTACCGTATTGCTGCATTTGATTTCTTCCTTCATCTAAGTTTTGCTTTCAAGCTGCAGAACACTTTCCGTTTCGCCTTATTGCAAGAATGGGGAAAATACTGTCGGCGGCTTAACGCCAGTTATTTTTATTTGCTCAAGGATCATGTCTGCATTACAAACCAACTTCACCTGTAACCCATTACCATATGGAAGTTTTTGGAACGGATGTCCAAGCCGATGTTTGATGCAACTTCACAGAACTGCAAGCAGCCATTTTCAATGTAGTGGCGATCAAGCTTCACAGCCCAGTGACCAATGTAAATATAAGAAATGCTTAAAATGTCATTCTTCGGTCTGTAATGATTAAGATTAATTTATGCAAAAATACCAGCTGCCATTCTTCAAAAAATCGTTCATTGTTTCAAAAGTTCTACTGCACCTAGCTCTTCTTTCAAGTTTTTCTACAGAGGTGAGGTTCACCCTGTTACGGTATTTGCGCGTATCGGTGCCTTTGCAGCGGATTACTAAGGGATTGAAAACGATTTCTTCTCAATTTACTACAAAGGGAAACCTTAGCGAAATCAACTTGATGTCAGTTATCGAAGATTACGTCTATGCATAGCTGAGTAACGTGAACTCTTTTACCCGTGTTTCGTTCACGTCGACGCCCGCACTTATGGAAGGCGTTGAACCGAGTTTTCCATTAAAGGAATCTTGCGCGGAAAATTCTTGCACTCTTTCCTAACATGAATATGTCAGTTGTGATCACTGGAAATAGCACACAAAGTTTCACGCATGAAGATTCGGTTTCTGAAGAGAAACAAACGTACAAAAACTACACGTTATGGACCATCGAAGGACCAGGAGGCAGAGCCAGGCGAGGCATGGAAAGAAGACGGCGTTTGGCCGGCTACGTACCAGGCGACGCAATGAGAGAATCGGGTTAAAGCGCGCGATTTCGGAGAGTGGAGACAAATCGATCGATGGAATAGGATGGAGTAGAAGTGTAAGATGTGAATGCAACGAAGCAGAAGGCCAGAAAGAGCTTCTAGTGAATGCACTCCAAGAACCAAGTTTGAGCATCCCCGTCGCCAGCATTCGTGAAAGACGTCCGTGGGCAATTCGAACGCGTAGCAGCCTTTTCGAGTTTTCGAATTTCTAATCAAAACGAAAGCAATACTTCAGTTCTTTTCACTATTATCGTGGATAATGAGTCTCAAGCCAGTGATTTATGGCTGAAATAGAATCATGATTTTTCCGCGCAAGATTCCTTTAAAGGAAGCGATTACGATAAAGAGGAGCGCATCGGGGAAGCATATGCACCACACGAAGCAGTTACTTGGCTGCCAAGGAAGCGAGGTGTGGCGCTTCACGACGAAAGGTGCGCTGGTTGCTGAGCAGGACTTCGAAAGCACTCCGCCCCAAAAGCGATCCGCCCACTAGTTTAGTTGGTGATTTGGACGAGCTGCGTTGCCAGCAGCGGCACAACTGGAGCAACTCGATTAGCGTGGTTTGGCATGGTGCCACCAAACGCGTTGCGATGAACTCGTTCATACGTCCTTTCTGAGCTGTTACCTGTTCATGAGTGAAAACCAACGGCCAAAAAAGGGGGTCCCGTTTGCGTTTTCTGACGGATTTCTCTGCTTTTTTCGCCACTGGCGTACCATAGAGCACCCCGGGTCTCCTTTAAACGCTCTTAGAATCTATCGTCATTGCTGCCTTTAATTGCACAAACATTTTATTATATGTTTTGATTTAGATGTATTTGTGAACCAGGATTCAAACCACCGTATTGTGAAGCGCCAGCCGATGCATGCTTCAATCATCTGTGCATTAATGGAGCGCAATGCGTCGCTAAGTCACCTTTCAATTACGAGTATGTCACTTGTTTTACGAATAATGTAAATGATGAGGCTTTTGATTATTTTGTGATTTTATGAATGACATCATTTGAACATGAATGACTTTCATATCGACTGGACCAGCGAATGTACTCTCCGAGGCAGACCAATCATTGTTAGTGATGCTTTTGATTTTATGATGACAATCATTGTACATGACTGACTTTCCATATCGAACTGACCAAGTGAATGTGAATGTACTCCCGAGGCTAGACCAATCATATCTTGACTGCTTGTTAACGCACATCAACCTACTTTTAGAATTGCACACGCTCCTGAACCGGTAGTCGATTTATATTGTACAATACCCGCGAGGATCATTCAGTGTGCCTGAAATTGAACTACAGGATGGGCTAAAATTAGCAGGGCACGCGCACACGCGCGCTAGATTTTATCACTTTTCATTCGCTTCGTTTCGTCTCTTTCTGTACACAATGTGAAAGAGTAAAATGCCTTCTACCTATTGAAACCAAGTATCATGCACTTCACGAAACTAGCGAAATAACTACATCATCTTACGTCAGTCCTCAAATTGAACTCACTAGGGCTCTGGCACGTTACATCTAGCGGCAGTCCAACGTATCAGGGAAGCTCTTATAGGCAACAGTTCAACTCTTCGAATAAGTTCAGAACCACCATAGATGGAAAATTCGGTGACTCGAAAATTACAGTCACCAAAAGGATAATTATCAGATGCAGAATGCTCTCCTTGTCAACGTTCTTACTCCCAAAATGAAAAACAATGTGATGGAAATCAATAAAAAAATCCTGATGAAATAATCAATAATGATAATTATAATAATAACCATTCTCAAGGTGTGAAAACGCAATCCATAATATCAGGTCGGTCAAAAAGTATCCACCGTTTTCAGCCCCTAACTTTGAAGCACCACAACTTTGCTGAAACACAACCCTTTGGTCTGGAACAAAATCGTATAACTTCGTTATTTCTCGATCTAGCCCTCCAAAAAACCTCTCTCAGCAACATACTGACTTATGTAAAGGTCCAAAATCTGCAGAAGAAACGCATTCGACATACCCCACTTCTCAACGCAATTTCTCCCCTAGTCAAGAATTAAATGCGGGGAACTAGCGGTCCGTCGGAGATATACCTAGTCTATATGGAGGATGGCAGAAAAGCTTTAAATCATTTTTGAATGTATACACAGCGTATTCTACATTGGATGTCTGGTCATATTGCGGTGAAGGATCGACCTCAGTTGTTCCTTGAAGCAGCCTATCATCATCGTAGTTTCTTACGTTACAGGTTCTTTTCTTCACGGTAGGACTCCACCGTCATCGGATGACTCGATTCTCGAATCTTGCAATGAGCTGGGACCTCAGAATTTGAAGGAGTTCCTTGCTGTAGGAGCTTTTCGTCTTGCAAACGTTCCAAGGCAGCTTAATTTTGTTCTTGTTTAGTGACCCTTTCACTGCTGGCGTGCAGAAGCATAGTCCAATTCTGCACTATTATCCATCTTGAAAACGGTTCCTTACTGTTGCAAGGGGGAGTCCAAGCACACACCTTCACGCCCGTCGCAATATTCAAGTTGCCAGCTGGATGTTCGATGAATAGATTGACGAAACTGTTTCGCCTTTCTCACAGCGTGCACCCGGCTGAACTCGGTGCCTGCAGAGACCCACCCTCTGATGCCACACCTGTAGCTGAGCACCCGTCATAAGCTCCCTTCATTTCATTTGTGCAGTCCCGTACATTCAGGGCACTACTTACACTACGCGCATCATTTTCGAGCGCTTTTTTTCTCCATGCTCAAGTCGACGAGCTGATCTCGCGCTATGCGTTTCCTAGTTCTAAATGCAGTCGCAGTACTAGGAGCTGGCCCTCGCATGTAAGGTATTGTCCCCCGGAAAGAAAAGGATGCGTGTCGGATTCGAGTCTATCCTTTTGCCACAACAGAACAGCCTTCAAAACTCAACGTTTATTAAGAACAAAAAAAAGGAACGCAACTAACGAGCAATGTGTGACTTCTTTGTTGACGAGGAGAAGCGGTTGCGGTGGCGACTGCGGCAACAGTGGCGACGATGGCAACCGATGGCTATGGTGGCGACGATGGCGGAGGGGATGGCGATGACGGTGACGGCGCGGACGGTGACGGCGCGGACGGTGACGGAGGCGACGATGGAGGCGACGGTGGTGGCGGCGACGGTGGTGGCGGCGAGGCTGGTGGCGGCGACGGCGGTGGAGACGAGGCGGTGGAGGCGACGACGGTGGAGGCGTGAGGAGAAGAAGAACTTGGCTCTTCAGAATCTCCGGGCCTTTTATACGGGGAGGAGGTCATGGACTACGGTGATCGGGCGGGTGGTTACGATCAAACCACCCGCACCGTACCGTACCCCCTCGCGGGTGATCTAACGGCCGCCCCGCTTTAGCATGATCTTCTTTTGAGCGGCCGCTCGCCCATGACCTGCTCCCCTCTCCTGTCCCTCTTCAACATGCCCCCCCGCCGCGAAGTCGTCGTCCTCGACGACCGGTCGATATCGGGGAGCTCAAATGCTCTTGGCCTTCTCCCGGATTGCTGAGTACAGCACTTTTGCTGCGGCTACACCCTTGTAAGGATCATAGAACTGGCTTGAAGACTCCGGACTGCCCGCCTCTATGAATACCTTTCCTTCCAAAATCCGAGCACTGGCTGTGGTGATTACCTGGTCCTCGCCTCCCATTTTCAAGAATGCTTTATCCACCGTCTTCCATAGCTTCGACATTTCTTTCCATTCCGATTCTACTGGGGCTGTTATAGGCGGCCAAGCTGTCACAATCTTTCCACCGCTTTCCAATGCTTTTTCGCAATTTCCAAGATGTCCAAAATGACTTTTTGTTTCCTTCTTTTTCAATTGGATAGACGATGACCCAAGTTGACATCGTGTTCCACTCATCCAGTGTTTCCTTGAGCTGCTTGTGAGATGCGACGACCTTTGTGATCAGTCCCCCTTTCGGACCATCACGCTCCATCAATAAGGCCGTCTCTGGTGCTGCGAACCCCGTGGGTCCTTCCTTCGGGCTTCTGACGATCCTCTCTGTCTTCTGCAGATCCTTTTTCAGCTCCTCGAAGGCATACTTGTAGAAGTCATGATACAATTCTTCTCGATCGGTTCATGTTTGGAGATGCTTGTTGTGGTGCAAATGAATTCGTCCATTCCGTGCAGACCGAGTATGCTACTTTCAACACTCTTTTCAGAGCTTCCGTATCCAGTGACACTGCCCGTTTTTTGTATAGCTCCACTTTTTGCGCCATGCTCAATTCCTTCCTGATGAAGATTGACGCTATTTTCCACGCTGTCCACGGGTCTCCAAAGGGTTGTTTTCCATAGGCGCCCGGGAACGGGATTTCCTCGATGTCGCTCAGAGTCGTCTTGGCAAAACAGTCGTCCACGCATTGAAATTGAAGGTGTCCCTTGTCTGCAGGACTCAGCAGAACGGCGCCTCTGGAATTTTTACAATAGACTCTGTTTACTTTCACTTTTGGTTTTCTACCTTTACGACCTCTGGCATGTGCTGTTTCTACTGGTTCGTCCGAAATTTCTTTAGGAACAATTCTTAACATATCGAATTGGATTCGAATCGGCTCGCTGTTTCCCATTACTCTCGTTACCAGGGCGGAATTTTCACTCACGTCAATGACCCTATACGGTCCTGCCCAATCACCTGCTAATTTTGGGTGCAATTTCTTAACTTTTTCATTGGGTGACCACACATACACTCGATCGCCCACTTTGGGGTAGGTTCTGCCTTCGACTTTGTTTTCTTTATCGTACATCTTTTTCATCCGGTCCCTCATGCGATCGTTGTACTCTCTTACTCGCTCATGTGCTTCTCCGACCGCTTGAAGAATTTCAGTTTTGTACTCGTCTAACGACTTGTCCACCATGTACCGACTTATGCCCGCATTTGGTATGATCTCTGACGGAAAGCATGGGTCCATACCATGCAAAAGAAAGTAAGGGCTTTCTCCGGTTGCGCCATGGGGCATCATATTATACGCCATCATACAGAAAGGCAATCTCGTATCCCACTCTGTAGGGACAATGGTGCTTTTACGCAACATAGCAACTATGATCCCATTGAGCCTTTCCGTAAGTCCATTCTCTCTCGGATTATATCCCTTTCGTGTAGT